GAGAGAGAGAGAGAGAGAGAGAGAGAGAGAGAGAGAGAGAGAGAGAGGTATGTCCACAGAAACACGCCTGCTTTCACCTTCAGGTGAACATCAATAATGCATTTTGTCATCAAGGTATGTTTGTAATGGCACGGGGGGTGAAGGGAGTTCAACCCCGCTGCCGCCACTCTCCTGGGAAAGGCCGGAGGGCGGCAATTCACAACCTGCCATCACTCGCTCCCAAAAACAGCACCTCGCCACCAACCTTCAAAAGCTGTTGCTGCCTTTTTTTCCTAATGCGATTCATCGTGTACTAAGCAGAGATGCCCTCGGATTTGGGATGTTCACCGCAGCGCGAGGTTACAAGGATCAGCAGAGATGCGTGTTTCTGTCCGGTAGTGTCAAAGACGTTTTTTATGACGGTGTAATAAGTGGGTGTGGTCCGTCAACACACTGTTCACCCTGTAGGGTGGCGTATTGCAGCGTCACTCCACAATGAGCAGAAATTCAGTACGTTTTTGTACGAGCAGTTTCTTTTTTTTAACACATGCTCCGACCCCAGCGATGGGCCCCAGCTTGTTTGTAGAGGGAATTAGCCTGAAGGCACCAGTCAGAGAGTACTGTACACCGCTTTGGTTTGACACTAAATCCCCAAACAAGGGTCTGTGTACACTGCAAAGCCCACTTTGATGAACAAAGCAGGGCGGACTGAAAAGATCCAGGCAGTGTCATTGATTCATCGGGGCTTAAAGAAGGCAGGTGATCGCAGATATTGTGACATGGGGCCCGTAATCTCACTATCAATAATTACAGTCTCCCTCGTGTCTGCCCTGTTATATGCACACACACGGGGGGGGGGGGGGGGGAAAAAAATTTAGGTTAAAGGGGGGCTCGTCCCTCTAAAATATTCATAGCTTCTTCATTTAAATCAATTCGGCTCTACGGGCGCAGTCGAGCGTCAACTGTCAGAAATTGAGCTGGGCCTGTTGTAATCACTTCTTTACTTATCTCTACAGATGGCTTGTTCGCAATGGGCTCTGCATGGCTAGCTCACCAGCACATTGAGAGAGGGCTTTCTCTTTCTCTCTCCCCTTCCCATCTCTCGCCCTATCTCCATGTTTCATCTCCAACCTCTCATAATGGAACACACATAAATTCATCGGGGTATTGAACCAG